CTAAGAACCAGTAAATCCTAATTTATTAACCTTCTAGTATTACTAGCAGTCTCTTTCTGACTAATTACTAAAGACATCTGTTTTCTCACAATTAGTGACCTTCGTTGTAATCTCCTCTGAAACATATTTCATGATGGTTGCCTAGTTACCCATTGACATTAGCACTCACTCCCCTCTTTAGGGTCTCCACTGACCAACCCAAGGGCCAGGGCAAGGTTGTAAAAATTCCTTTGTTCAGAGCTAATGCTTAGTGCCCCTACTATAAAAAGTGGGTTCAGAGACCAGCCTTTTGCCACAGCCTAACAAACACTAGCTGATAAGCTTCTGTGCCCTGTGGTGATTTTTTTTTAATTTTTATTTTTTTATTTTTAAGTTTGCTTCTGGTTTTCCTAGGATCTGGTTTCTGGAATAAAGTTTGCTTCTTGGTGGTGTTCTCATCTTTGCATGACCCCCATGGACCCAACAGGTACCTTTTCTCAGTAAGGCTTCCTCTGCATCTGGTTGGTGACTGTATCTCTGTCTTTCCTCTTCCCAGAATTCTACTAATCTGGTTGCCCCACCTATACTTCCTCCCTGGCTACTGGCCAATCAGCATTTTACTAAACCAATATGAGTGACAGATCTTTACAGTGTACAAGAGTATTATCCCACAGAAGTGGGGTGCTTGGAAGGGTCGCGCAGCCTGAGCTTTCTTCCCAGTCTGCTCCCTGACCACAACGGGACTGATCTGTCTCCACCACATGCTCTTGCCAAGAAGCACCACCTTTCCTCATCCTGGACCAAAAGGTCACAGAGGCAACTGATAGAGAACAGAACCTCCCGGACTGTGAGCTCAAACGAGCTTTTTCTCTCTACACGTTCATCATCTCAACTTATGATTGGAACGGGAAACCACCTCAAGAAATCCTAGATGTCTGGCAGGTCCCAGCCCAACCTTAGCCCTCTACAGGTCTGCCGTCAGAGCACTGAGAGATCAAGGCATGCTGACCTTCAGACCTGCCCTCAGGAAGCAGGTCCTCCCCAACCCTGCATCCCTGGGCTGCCAGGGTCAGTCAAGTCCTCTGCACTGGTTCCCAAAGTGTCTATCATCATAAAGTGAGAGACAAGATGTTGTTGGGAACCATTGGTGTGGGAAGTCCTTCTGTCTATGTGTGCTTTTATTGGTTAATGAATAAAGAACTGGCTTGGCCTATAGCATAGGAAGAGGAAGGCAAAGTTAGGAAGACATCATGGAGTCGCCACTAGAGATAGACGTGCTAAAACTTTGCTGGTAGGCCACGACCTTGTGGTGATATGCAGATTAATAAAAATGGGTTAAATTAATAATGTAAGAGTTATCCAATAAAAAGCTAGAAGTAATGGGCCAAGCAGTGATTTAATTAATACAGTTTCTGTGTGATTATTTTGGGTCTAAGCTAGCCGGGTGGCCAGGAATCAACAAGCGGCCCCTCCTCCAACAGACCATGGGGCTCAAGCCCAGATACTCACCTTTACTCACAGCCCCTTATACCGTAGGGAGAGCAAGGAGTCTAAGAATCCAGCTGTCATAGATCTAAAACCACTTTACAAGTGGCAGGAAAGATGGCGATTGTGTACAATAGCTACTGTGTTTTGTGCTTTACCACAGCCATCCCTCAGTGCTGCAGGAATAAAGACACTAATGCATCTTTGAGGGTGGGTAGGGTAGACACCGCTGCCTCTGAAACATCCATATCATGCTCCTTAGAAGCTTCTAGATGCTGATGGAATCCGCTAACCTCCCCAGGCCTTCCCTGACCTGAACTGAGAGTGAGTGCCCACATGGAAGCCACCGGCTCTTTGGTCACCTTTGGCTCTGCCTCTCGCCAGCTGAATTAGCTAACTCATCTCATCATTCCCTAGTCTGTGAAAAACAGTGCATGCAGCTTGTGGGCCACAAGGCCTAACTGTGGAGTGTGTGAGTGTGCAGACAGTGCAGCTGCCCAGCTCTGCCAGGGCCTTGTGCCAGGAGGGTCGGCCTAGGCATGTACCCTAGCTGGCCTCAGCAGGTATAAGCCTCCACAGCTGGCTGCAGCTGGCTGCATGAGTGATGGAGGCACACTCCCTGTAAAGTGCTTAGGAGATGACACTCCTCCCCCTTTCTTCCCCCTTGGGTCACTGGCCACCTCATGCTGCTAAGTCTGCTCTCTGCCTGGTAAAAATGGCAGCCGTGGCTTGTTGTAGCTTACTTCACAGCTTCTTGTGTCTAGATAACCGGTCCCCAGCTGGCGGCGCTGTTTTGGGAAGTTGTAGAAGCTGTGGAATGTAAGGTCCAGCTGACAGAGGCAGGTCGCTAGGGCTGAACCTTCCATGTTTATATCAACTGCTGGTTCTTGTCCCAAGGCCTCACTTCCTGGCCCTCTACAATCTGAGGGGACTCTCCCCACTCTCCTGTCATCGTGAACCTCCTCATACATTCCCACGATGGGCTGAACCACCTCTGAAACCAGGAGCTTCTGGGAAGGGTTTGTGTCCGTGTTTTGTCACAGTGAGAAACATAAATTATTCCAGTCTGGTCTTCCTGTGGATAGATAAATGCTTCATGTGGAATTCCTCTCTCATTTAGGTTCCCCAGAGTCTGACCCATGACCTCAGCCTGAGCAACTTTCCACTATCTTCTCCTGAAAGATCCCTGATCCCAGAGGGTAAGTGGGTGTGTGTCCCCTCTCACCCCTGCCACACTGCTCCTGGTAAGGACACAAGCCAGTGAGGACCCATGATTTCTCACCTCCATGCTCCCATGCAGCCTCCTGACTCTCCAACCCCTAATATGATTTCTGCTGGGGGGTTATAATAAAAATGATAGCAGGCACTGAGGGGATTTTTCTGTGCACCATGCTCCACCACTGCCCATCTCCTTTCTCTGTCTCAGCATCTAGGGCAGTAGGTGGTATCAGCAGCACCATTCTGCACGTGGCAAATGGAGACCATGGCAAAGCTAAGTCACGTGGTCACACGGCTAGGCACGGGTAGAATCAAGATTTAAACTAAAGTCACCCAACGCAAGAGCTCCCCTTTGCAGCGAACTCAGTCTATTGCCTGGTAACACATTAAACATGCAGTTGGATGGTAGGATGCATTCTAATGTCAGAAACACAACTCCCACACTGTCCTGAAATATGCATATAAACACTAACTCTTTCCACTCTGGGAATTCGCTGGTGAGGCACGGCCGCAAAAAATGATGCGCTCATTTATAAGCCTAGAAAACATGCTTTTATAAACCCAAAGTATTTTTATCGGGTTTTTTTAATCATGCCAAAAGTTCTCACCATTGGTCTTCACAATGCATTAGGGCATTCTGTCCCCAGAAGTCCCTGGTGAAAGGGGAAGCACATTTCTCAACACAACAGCATAAAGGTATCATTTTTAATTGTTCAAAACATTCCCCCAGGAATTTCTTTTAGTAACAGACCTCACCTCTATGTCCTCTGTAGGGAAGGTTCATGGATCATTCTCAACCAGTCACTCTACACCAAACACTTACTCACTAATTTCCCCTCCAAACGACGTGTGACCCAGTACAGACCAGAGTTCATCTATGGAACATTCCGGTGGGATTTGCTAGGGAACTTCCTGTCCCTTGGGCTGTGAAGATGCAAGACTGTGAGTCCAGATAGCTGAGGGTGATGGTGCTTGGGAACTGGAGGCAGAAGGATCATGGGTTCAAGACCAACATGTGCTATACAGTAAAAAACAAAAAAGAAAGAAAAGAAAAAGAAAAATCAAAAAGAAGAGAAGGAAGCCGGGCAGTAGTGGTACACACCTTTAGTCCCAGCACTTGAGAGACAGAGATAGGAGGATTTCTGAGTCTACAGAGTGAGTTCCAGGAAGTCAGGGAAACACAGAGAAACTCTTTCTTCAAATAATGAGAGAGAGAGAGAGAGAGAGAGAGAGAGAGAGAGAGAGAGAGAGAGAGGAAGAAGAAGGAGGAGGAGGAAGAAGAAGAAGAAGAGGAAGAAGAGAAGGGGGAAAAAGGAAAGAAGCATCTCAGTTACTTTTCTGCCGGGTAAAACACCATGGCCAAGGCAACTTCTAAAAGAAAGCATTTAACTTGAGGCATGTGGTTTCAGAAGGTTAGAGTCCATGATGCTGGAGCAAAAGAACAGAAGCAGGAACAGCTGAGAGCTCACATCCTCAGCTGTTAGTGGAAGACGGAACGAGAATGCCCTGGGAATGACATGTGTCTTTGAAACCTCATTCCCAATGAAACATCATCAAATCTGATTAAAGAAAGTACTAAATGCAGTTTTTAAATGGTTTTATTATATCACACACACACACACACACACACACACACACACGCGCACGCGCGCGTGTGTGTGTGTGTGTGTGTGTGTGTGAGAGAGAGAGAGAGAGAGAGAGAGAGAGAGAGAGAGAGAGAGCATATGTGGAGAGCAACTTGCATGAATCAGTTCTATCCTTACACAATGTCGGTCCCAGAGATCAAACTCAGGTCATCACATTTGGCAGCAACAGCCTTTACCCACTGAGCACCCCAACCCCAATGTGCTTTAAAACAAATATCCGAGTTCAAACCCCTCCTTCCTTAGTGATCTGCAGAGGCACTGAAGTTCATCATTTCCTCTCTCTGAGCTTCAGGTCCAACAAGAAGAAAGGGTGGCACATGCCTTTAATCCCAGCACTCAGGATGCTGAGGAAGGCCTCTGTGAGCTCAAGGTCAGCCTGGTCTACAGAGCGAGTTCCAGGAGAAGAAGAAGAAGGAGAAGGAGAAGGAGAAGGAGAAGGAGAAGAAGGAGAAGAAGGAGAAGAAGGAGAAGAAGGAGAAG